CAGGTCCAGGGACAACAAAAGCAACACAAAACAACTGCAAGCATATGACCACCAAAACAGGGTCTCAGTCGAATGCTAAACCATATAGTATATGTATATGTATGCATGTAATTGAGTGTGTGCAGTTTAGCATGCACCCGCTACAAATACATAAATTATAATCTGTTTGCTGCTGCACCTGCAAATGCAAACAGAGAGGGTGAAAATTAGAGAAAAATAAACAACAAATTGGAGCCACACGACCTGTCCAATGACGTCACAGCGTGTTATTAACATTACACCCACGATCCACATGACAGCAACCAAATAAGTAGCCCCAAAAATTTCTAATTGCCTAAAATTAAAATGCGTAATAAGCATGCACGCGTGAATAAAAGGTGCAAAAGCACAGTCGACATTAAGAAAAAATACTAAATAGTTTTATCCTTTCTTTAACAGTAATTGGAAAATATAACATTAATTAAATTTTTAAAAATATTACAGGGGCACAATTGATATTTGTAGAAACTACGATCTGAAAACAGTTTTACCATTCCTAAAATATTTATGTAGAAATATTATTGTATTATAGTTAATTGATTAGTTGATTACTTATTTATTATTATGAGGATTATTATTTTATTTGTTTTACTTTCTTAAATGGTTGCCTAAAAATGCATTATATGTTCTGGAAGTTAGTGTCATAGTTATGTTTTAAAACTCGTTTTTACATAAATCATTTTAACATTTAGATTATTCAATAAGCTCCATTAATATAGCTTTCCATAACATTTACTTATAAATCAATGCGTTGCTTAAAAATAATATATTTTTGTACTTAATAACTACTGCTTGGCTTTCTACTTAGGCAGGGCCCACCGTATTATAATTGTAAGTCCGCTCCCAAGTTTCTGCTGTTGTTTTATACATGTTTTTTGGGCGTGTGCCGGGGATCTAATCGGAATGGGGGGCTCATTGTTGACACACACACGTGTGCGATGCGAAGTGCTCGAGAATATTGGACAAGATCGTCTCGTCTCGAAAAGGGAAGCCTTGTGCTCCATGCTTTTCGATTTTTTTTCAGATTTTTTTTTTTTTCATGAGTTCAGCTTCTACGTTTCTAGTATTTCTTGTCGCGCTTTTCAAGGTCCGCACTTCCACAGTTTTAATGCCATTTCAGATTTCCGCAACGCCATTTAAATCGATGTGCGTGTGTGCGAGAGATTCTGCTGTTGTTGTTTTCCCTGCTTTTCAGTTTTTGGCGTACGTGTTGCGCCCCAACGCCGGCTCAAAAAAAAAGTTATAAAACAAAAATAAAGAAGAAAGGAAAAATAAAAAAGAAAAAATGAGAGCAGCAACATGTGAGCAACTTTATTTTTATTGATGTTGCATGCTGTTTTAACCCCTTGAAATGTTTACTATCTAAACATGATTCAATGTACATGTATCTTTTCTTAATTTAGGATTTCTAGCTATTTCTACGGCACATTCTCTTTTTTAATTAATTATTTATAATTTTTGCTCATTTTATATATTTGGAGGGATAAACTATAAACATAGAAAAATACTTTAAAAATCAAAATCATTTGTGATTTGTATGAATTGTATAATAGTATAATAGTTTCAGCCACTAGCCTAAAAGGAACTTAAAATCAAATTGTTTGTTTGGCAATTAATAAAAAGTGTGTTTGGTGAAAAACAAGTTTTTATGCAATTTTTAATTTGAATTTAATATATAAATTAACTATAAACTACAATTTTTCTTTCATATTATTTTTGAGATTTTTTTGGGTCTTTTAACAGAAAGAGTATAGCTGGCACTTTCAGGTTCAAGTTTGGTACTTTATAGTGCCGAATCCCACAAAGAAAAGGAAGGGTTGTTTTTTTGTTTTGAGTTGACTAGTTTTTTTTTTCAGTATGCGGATTTTGGCACGTCGACACACCGGCGACAGAGGCAGCGACTTCGGCAGCGACGTCGGCAGAGAAGTCGTGCTGCGTCTTTACATAAAATGACATAAAATTTAATAGCGTCGCGTGCATTGGTGTGTGTGCGTGTGAGTTTTTCAGTTGCCTGCACCACCAGAAAAACAAAAAAAAAAACCAGAAAAAAACAGCGACTACGTGCCACTTGCAACGCATCCTTTTTCACAATGTTGTCGTAGGTTTTCTTCTGGCTTTTCAATTTACCAAATTTTAAATGTAAATTTTAAGTGGAAAAACTATGAAACTCTTGAAGACTCTTGAAAAATCGGATGCACTGAAAAAAATATTATCCTTTTAAAACCAATACAAACTATACCATAAAGGATTGGTTTACTTAATAGTCTTATTTTTTCAATTTATCGTTGTTGTAAGTTCAAATATGAATTTGATATAATTTATCTTAGATTTAAATCATAATACTTTTTTTATTACACACTTTTTAATAAATATGGTGTGGGCACATAAATATGAACTTAATTAGTAATAATAGTAAATAATCTAAAACCAATAATGTGTTAATAATAAAAAGTTAATATCTTGTAAATATGTTTTAGAATTTTGTTATTTTCCTTTATTTATATAAAAAAACAATTTTTTTTTCCGTGTACTAAATTAAATTACAGCTGACGGTCGCCTTATCAGTGACCTGCTTATAATGGCTGATAAAATCCCCAAAAACAATAGCAACACCGAAAAATAAAATAACAACACATGACTTTCTGACCATCGTGGGTTACAAAACCCAAAAGCGAGAGATAAAAGCCAGCCCAACTTTAGAGTAAAGATTAGGCCAAAACGCAAATACGAAATGAAAATGAAAAAGGCAAACACCAAATAGATTTGGAAACTGGGAATTGCTTTTCGAAAATGTTTGGTAAATAAAGGGCGTCAAAAATTCGGCGGGTAAACAAGACCATTGAAATCTGGTTACAGTTTGAGAGCCACTTACGGTAAAGGGTTTTGCTTTGAACGATATAGAATAAATAAATATTTATACCTTTGGTAAACAATTGTTTTATAAGTAGGTACATAAGCTTGTAATTGTATTTTTTTTTTAACTTATTAATGAGTTTATTGTAACAAGTGTTGCAAATTGAATTTGTAAAAATTATTGAATTTTAATGTATTGTTCTATAACTCAAAATGGTGTAACGTTGAATAAAATCATTAATAAGATAATTTTATAAGTTAATCTTCAATAAATTTTTATTTAAGCGTCGCAAATTTAATTAAAAAACTATCTTTGATAAGGTGCAATGAATAAATTTATAAAAGAAAGATAGTTTATCTTAAAGATATTCCTAAAATTGACAATTTCTTTCTTAAATCAATTAAAATAGGTCAATAATTTGGTTTTGTGAATTATAAAATTGAAAGATTTATGCCGCTCGTATTTGCCTTCGGCGGTAATGATAAATTAATTAAATTAATCTTTTATTTATGGCCAATAAACAAACTTTAAGGGCTTGTGCAATTGACCTTCGACCACAAACAGCATTCTGAAAAAGGGAAAGAAAACAAAAAACAACAACGTGGCCCAGAAAACAAAAAAAAGAAGAAACCAAAACAAAAACATGTGAAAAATCTAAACAAACACAAGAGGCATGTGAGTTTTTTTGGTGTAATCCACACCGGCATATAACATATAACCCTGATGTCGGGCCGATTGAAAGCTCCTTAAGTGCCAAGTGGAGATCCATCACACAGTAAAAAATAAGATTTAATGGGTTTCAATATCAAATAAATATATGCAAAAATATTCAATATCTTATAAGGTCTAATTTTCTCACCTATTTAATGTGAAGTTGATATTGATTCTTTAAATATAAGAATTTTCATTATGTCGACTTATATTTTTATGTAAATTGTTTTTCAGATATTTTCTCATAAATATTTACAATTTAAAAATAAATACAATTTTGCATTTTAAGTCAAGCCCGGGTTTCTTGTGCAAATATCGAAACAAAGTTTATAAAAATGAAAAAACTAAAATATCTAAAGAAAGAAAATCAAAGGAAATGTCTTTTGTATTTTTAGATCATTTTGGAAATCAGTAATTTTTCTTTTGCCCTTTATAGAAAAGTTCGTTAATTTTAATTTATTTTTATAATTGAAACACAATTTTTTTCGGCGCAGCAAAAGCAATAACAACTCCCATTCAGCATAATTGTAAATTGGTTTTTGTTTTGCGGCCGCCTGCTATTTTTAGCTGCCAAATAGATTTTTTTTTGCTTTATCTGACTTTTAAAAAGAAGAAGAATGAAAAAAGGGTAATTTTGTAAAGTGGACGTTGCCACCGGCACGTTAGCACAAAAAGTTGTGCGTAAACAAAATTGTAAAAAAAAAACTAGTAAACAACAACAAGCCATCAACATCAACAAACTTATCGCAAACTTAACACAAAAATTATAAGCAGTGATAGAGTGTCGAGGAGTTTTTTTGATAAACATTGTATTAATATTCTGTTATAGCTAACCGTTTATGTAACGATTAATTAGTCAAACAAAAGTAGGTTAGTTAATTCTTGTTTAGTTTTAAAGTGCCCGCCATAAAATGTTGTGAAGAAGTTATCTAGCAGTATTGCCAGCTATCGATAGTATTCGACTGGGTAATCGATTAAATTTATGCTTAAAATATTTAAAATTATATTTTCCTAATTTTTGTAACTATGTATTTCTAATATTTTGTTTTTATAAATTTTACAATTTTTAATCACCCCTATATTTAATTTTAAACAAATTTAAACAAAATATTTTACTTAAAATTTGCTTGTTACGGATTGTGCACTTAAGCCATTTTTAATAAATTATATAAATGATAACCTCAACATTTTAAATAGGTTTAAAAATGCTCTAATAAATAATTATTTCTGTTTATCTTTTACTACTTTTCCACGTTGTTGTCACTCTAGACAATTAGTTTTCCTTAAATGTAAATGGGTGATAACTTATTAATTGCAGCAGGCGACTGTCGCCTTTTGTCGTGCAAATTTTTCAGAGATAACCATTCGCTGCTTATAAAAGCAGTTTGCCATTTTAAAATTTCTAAAAAAATTGCAAAATGTTAGGCTGCATCTATAAGGTTTCAGTCCTAGTCTTATATCTTGTGATCCAGTGTCTGGGTGAGGATTACTGTGAGAAGAACCTTTGTTTTTTCGGGACCACCCATATTGCGTGTGTGAGTGATTTATTTATAAATCAACAGTACAGAAACTTAATTTGATTATTTTATAAAAAATTATTAAAATTATTATATAATTTAAATCTAATACTTTTGTTATCCCATATGTAGCCTTTAAACGAATCCTTTGGCGACGCCTGTTCCAAAAATGCCAGCGTAGTTCAAATCAATCAGGATGACATTAATACAGTGATCAAAGCTCATAATTTGGTAAGACAAAAATGGGCCAGTGGCAAGGCAAAGTTTCCGAATAAGGCCTGCAGAATGGCCTCAGTAGAATGGGACGAAGACTTGGCTAAGTTGGCTGTACTCAATGCCAAAGGCTGCATTATGAAGCACGATGAATGCCACAATACTGCAAAGTTTCGACTATCCGGGCAGAATCTGTTTAACGCTGGATTTTGGCAGTCTAACGGTAAAGATATGTCGATGACAACAAAGGATCTTTTCGAAATAGCTGTTCAGATGTGGGCAGGCGAAGAAAGGGACGTCACAGCCGATAATCTAAAGGCATATCCCGAAAACAGTCCGGCGTAAGTATTTTTAGTTAAGATTTATATCACCTGCAGTTAATGCTTCTCTTTATTTCTGAACAGTGTGGTTGGTCACTTAACCGTTTTGATTAACGAGAAAAGTTACGCTGTGGGTTGTGCCATAGTTAACTACGAGGCGGAGGAATATAACAGATACAATATGGCCTGTAATTACGCTTATACGAATGTCATCGGTCATAGTGTCTATAGCGTATGCCCAGAAGCAGGCAGTGAGTGTCCCAAGGGATTGAGCTCGCTGTATCCACCACTGTGTGCCTAAATTAAATGTTGTTTTTTGAAGAAATTGTACGTTTATCAATTAAATGAACCCCACAAAATATATGGCCTAAATTAGTCAACATTCTAAATAATATTATCTGTAATTGTACAACTTGTTTACTATACCAAAACACACGACAGACGTATGATAAAAAAAATAATGAAATACTTTTTGTATTTTCCATTAAGAAAAAGACGGCAATACAAGGCTCTCTTGGACAATTTGAATGAATTGGTAGATAAGAATTTACATAAAAATACATTAATGATTGCACAATTGGCAATAATATCCCATAAACAGAAATCAGGGAGTTTTGGTAGCATAAACATGGTACTAGTAATAATACTTTATGTACATATTTAGCTTAAAAATAAAAGGCGATCGTTTGAATTGAAATTATTTTAAAGTATTATTATTTGTATTACAAAGAAAGATATTTTGGATAACAGCGCAAAAATCACATGAATTTGTAGCTTGAAACGCGAGAGTGGTTATGGGACTTAAGACTAGTTTTAAGCCAATTAAATTACATTACTATTTGGATACCAGGGTCTTGAAAACGGTGGGACACTTGTGGGCCGGCAAGTGGCGATAGCAATACGTCTTGATTGCATCCAAATCTATATCCGCATCCGGCGAAACAATGCATATAACACCCAGACGATGGCCCCACAACTTATTGGGTATACCCAGGACAGCCACATCGTTGATATTTGGATGGGAGATTAAGACCTTTTTGATCTCCGATCCGTAAACCTTGTAACCGCCGACGGTGAAGACATCACTGGCTTTGCTGAGGAAATAAAAATGCCCATTTCGATAGGCGCAAATGTCGCCGGTCTTGAAGAAACCATCTTGGACATTCTGTTCCTGTTCGATTGGCTGATTATTGCTGGCCAAGGAGCTGGACACCAGATGCGAACCGGCAATCTGGAGTTCACCAATTACGGTTTGGGCCAACGATGCATCTCCACCGATATCCTCCACCTGTATAAGACCATGGTCCACAGTTCCGCCGAGTTCGTTCTTGCAGGTTATCAACTCATTACCATTGTTGCCGATCAATCGGGCTGTAACACCTTTTAGAGGAGCACCCAAAGTACCAGGACGATAATCGTTGAGCGCATTGCCGACATTACTTGGACCCGGAGATCCTGATCCTGCTGAAGTATTTGTGGGATCACGATGGGGCTCAGCCAGTGTATGACCCAAGACCAGACCCGTCTCCATCATTCCATAGTATTCGTATATATTCTGACCCGTAATCTCGCGCCATCTGTAGAAGACCGAGTCCGGTAGCAGAGCAAAAGCGGTGGCCATCAAACGGATCTTTTGCCGGCAATGATTCGCAATATAATCGACCATTCGCGAATCCTTGGCGAACATCTTCTCATACTCCGCAATCAGTCTCTTGTAGACAATGGGCATGGCCAAAAAGAGGGTGACCCGCTGCTTGGACGGACTATTAATGCCCAACAGAGCACTCCACGCATTATGCCCATTAAACTTTTGCTGCAGCACCACATTGCCGCCCACATTTAGTACGGCACCCAAGGCGGCATGCATCCGATTCATGGATAGTATGGGTAGCATACTGTCCGTGGGCCCCAAACGCCAACTGGCGATCAAACAACGCACCTGAGCATCGATATTGCGGTGGGTCAATAGCACCGGCTTGGGACTGTTCACCGCATTGGGCGTGTAGATCAGCATGGCCGGCGCCTTGGCATAAAAGTCACCCGGAATGGTGCTCTCCGTGAGGATGGCTCCTTGGGTGCTCACCAGCTGTTTGGCATACATCGATGTGGAGGACACACTCTCGGCCGTCGGCACAAATGCGTGATCCAGCACGATTGTGGCCGATTTCAGGCCCTGCGACAACTCGTGGGCAAGATTCTCGAACTCCGGAGTGGCTATTAGCAGCTTGGTCTTGCAGTTGGACGCTTGGAGACGCAGTTGATCCATCGCCTGACCGGACTCCAATGGCACCGCCACCTGGCCGGAGATCCAACAGCTCCACTGGATGGCGACCCACAAGGCATTGTTCGAGCACAAGTACGTCACATTCGACAGCGAGCTACTGCCTGCAAAGCGGTGAAAATGACCATGTTAATATAGCGATTGATATGAATTCTGGGATATAGTTAGATGTAAGCCTAATAATTGATCATAACATATTTACAAATTATTATCTTGAATAGAAATTATTATAACTAAATTTAAGTGAGAGAATTCAAATAAATAAACCTAGTAAACTATCATACCCAATTATAAAAGACTAACTGGGCTAAAACTTATAATATTTAAGACTATATATTTTTAAAAGTGCTAATGCTTATCCGACTGATATAGATAGGATATCTGGTGGTGAGGTATATATAATATTTAATATTAACTAAACAACTATGTGTGATTGTCAATTTTAATATTCAGGCGTTAAATAAAGAATTTGAACCCGTACTTACCGCATATATTCGAGATCTGAATGGCCAGACGTTTGGCGGCCAGATACAACTGGAAATAGGTGTACTCCCCGGTAATGTCCTTAATGGCGATCTCATCCGGATAGAGCATGGCCTTCTTGAAAGTGGGCACCACCAGATTGCTGCGCTCATCCTCGTCGAAGCTGTGGCGCAACTTCTCGATAAATCCATCCTGGAAACAGAGAACAAAGAATTAAGCTCTTAACTTAAGGAAATATCGGGAGGTATTACCTTATGGATCAATTCGGCAGAGCAAAGACGAACCCAAGGGCGCAGTTTTAATTTAGGACAACGTCGCAGTAAGAGCATCTTTATTTTTTTTTGGTTTTTCGTTATTTAATTGGGTTGTGTAGTCGCTAAAACACTTAATTAGAGTAGATTGTACGGAGAGCTGAATTTAGCTCCGATTTTCAGATGATATCGCTTGAGAAGCCAAAACGATTGTGAGGTTTTAATCCTGGCATACTGGAAAACCAAAAATGTAACTAAGATTTTTCGAAAAAAAATCAAACTCATTTAATTCGATTGGTTGATTTTGTTGGTCTTTATTTACACAATAATAGTTTGCAGACACAAAAAATAATAATTACAATAGTCATAATCGATAACGTAAAGTAAGTAAAAAAAATCATGTTTTTTTTTAAGTAAAATGTACGTCACTTTTCTTTTGGTACTTTTTTTGTGTTCGCTTTCGTTTCGTTTTGTTTGATTTGATTTTATTTTATTTTTTTTTTGTGACCTTTGCATAATACTCAAAAATGTTCGTTTACAACGATCCTGGCTTGAGAACTCGAATGTGCATGGGTGGAGGTTTATGGGTGTTTTATTTTTTTAGGGGTATGAGAGGAAGAAGTGCAATTGAAACAACACTTACGTAATCTATATTTACAGTCTAAGATTGAATAAAAAAGAGCCAACTATTGTGGGAGATTTCGGGGATTATGGCATTACACCGTTTGTTCCTATGGCAGCTATATGATTCATCATACAAAAACGAATAGGAATAACAATTCGAGGGATTTCTATAACCGATTATGGCAGCAAAACCTTGAGTGACGGACGGTTAAACGGAAACAATTACAATTGCAGTGTATTTAAAATCTATTTTCTTTAAATATACAAAAACACATATATTTAGCACAAATTGCATACACATTTTGTAAAATTTCGTTACGTCCAGAATTCGATTTAGTGTTTCAATATTACAATTACAATTTCATTTTAGATTTTAAGTCAGGGCAGGGTAATTTCTTCGAGTGCAATCAAGTGGCGTGCAGTGTGCTTGCTAAAATTTAACAGTTTCACAATTAACAATACAATCACAGATTACGAATTTAACATAATTAACGAAAAACAAATACAAAAAAAATTGAACGATTCGAATGGTTTTTGGCACGGCGAAGGAAGGGCAGATTCGGGGATTTGGAGATTCGGAGCACTCCCTTCCTTCAATTTGAAGCCTTTTTTTTTTTTTTTTTTTTTTTTTTTTGTAAATCTGTAAGGCACTCGGCAGTCTCTTCTTTTTTCACTTAAACTCAAAATGCAATTAATAAAAATATACAGAAAGTTATAGGTCTGTTACTGTTTCCAATTTGTAGACAATTTAATTTTACCAGTTTTGAATAAATTTAACCTTAATGGAAACTTAATAGAATGCGTTTTGAACAATCATAGTAAGGGCATAAGGAAAACGTTAAACTAAAAATATATATGAAATCTTCTAGTTTAAAATCTACATTTAGTTTAACATGAAAAACTAGAGAAAATGGGTTTTAATGTTTTACATCAAATCATAATTAGGAGAAATGTACGGAAAACAAGGTGTGTATATACTTTTAAGAAACTCAAACTTATTATATCATGTAAAGTTAGTTAATTACTGGCCTTGTTAATTCTTTATCGAAAGGTGTAACGTGTATATCACCTTAAAATGGCAACTAGTATGCTGATTTAAATTGGAAACAGTAACCGTTGTGGGACATTTAAAAACCTTGATTTTCTCTTCCTGATCCACCCCAACCCCACTGCACCCGGTTCGATACCTGGATACAAGGATCCCCGGATCCTTTCACACTCGCTTCGGTTTGCTGACGATCGTGTAGTTCAGGCCATTGTAGCTGCGATGATCGATGGCAGCCGCCTCGAGGTTGCCCTTGTTGGTCGTCGAGTTATTGACACTGCTATTGCTATTGCCGCTGATGTTGCTGTTGGAGATTCCTAGATTATTGTTGTTCGTAGTGCTGCTGGCCTTGCGCAGCACCCCATATCCCAGATGACTATCGTCGGCCTTGCGAAAACTTTCCGTGTCGGGACTAGCGATCAATTCGTATTCATTGGGCGAAAAACTGCAACGGTTGCGATTGCCGGTGACATTCACGATGGTCTTGTAGCCACTCGATGTCTTGTTGTTCGGCGATAGAAAGTCCAGGCGATCGTAATTGGATTCGGACATTGATGTGGCTGTTCCAGTGCAACCGCCCTCGCCAATATCGATGTCTATGATCTTGGGCGTGGCACTCTGACCACCCGAGGACTTTGTAACGGATCGCTGGCGTACAAATTCCGAGGTATCGCATAGTATGGGCATACGTTCGCAGTGTCTCACATCGCCGACGCCCCTTGTGCGCCACGCCTCTGTGATATTCTCGATGCACTCGTAATCCCGCTCCGGTGGCGGTCCCTTCGAGGCGCTCTCATTTCGCAGCGGCAAGTCGGGCGGTAAATCGGGTGTGATATCCGGCAGGGCTATCGATTCACCGCCACCCGGAGTTTCCAGGGGTTTCAGTATCACCGAACTGTTCACATCGGAGGTGGCGGATGGCGAGGATATCGTCGTTATGGCCACAGGCTCATATTTCACAATGTTCCTGTATTTATCACAATGGGTTGTTGGGCTGACTCCGCCCGGTTTGCGTGGCGGTTTGTTGGGAATGTGCTTGCTGTTGGTATTTGCGGGTACGGATAAAGTGATTCCTCCTCCTCCTCCTCCTCCTCCGGTGACGGGATTAACACCACCACCACCACCACCACCACCTACACCACCAACACCTCCTCCGACGGGCGCTGCTCCACTGCCACCGCTGGCCGCCGAAAAGTTATTTAGCGAATCGTTGGAGCTTATGAAACCCCTCAGGGAAATGCAACTTTGGGTCGAATTGATCTCGAACTCGCCGCCATGGGGATTGTTCGATGGAGACGGTGGCAGGGGACTCCTCGAACCGGGTTCCATGCCGGCAGCCGCACTAAATTGATTCTCGCCGCACTCCAGAGTGCTCAGACTGTCGCCACTAATCAGTTTCTTCATCGACTTCATCTTGGCGGACATGCAGCGGAATACCTCCTGCGGATTGGTGTGATCCAGGGTGAAAACCCCCTCGCCGGTGGTGCACTTTCTGCCCGCCTCGAAGGTGAACTTTCCATCGCGATAGCCATACTTCCTGATGAATCGATATGGCCACATGGCGATTGTGGCACCCATGTCCTCGGATTTCAGCTGCAGCTCTGTGGGCGTCATCTGGAGCATATACGTCTTGGGTTCGATGCAGCAGCGAATGGAGGCCTCCGAAGGAATCAGCGTGATGATGAACAATCCATCCTGCAAGCGTATACAAAAAAATCTTTATTATTGAGTGTTCTCTTCATTAATGAAAACCATAATTTGATATTTCACATGGGTTTCTTTGTGTATTTATACATTTAAATACAGGTTATATTTTTACCACTAAATAAAAATTAACATATTTAATAGTTTTTACAGTAAACAAACTAATTAGCAAATAACAATTGTTATTTGCAGTCCCTGGTTCGAGGTTTTATGTTTTTTTTTAATAAACATAAAAGTTGGCTTCTCAAATTCCATCGAAAACCATATTTACAATTTTCTTTGCTACAATTTTTTAACAGTGAACTATAACTTTTCATACAATTTATCCAAATCCATCGTAAAATCTAAGACATTAAAGAAGAACCATGTCCGAATTTCTGGCAGAAAACCTTTGGCCGGATTACAAGTGGCCCTAACGCAATTGCCATGCCTTGAATATCATGGAATCCGTACTCTTCGATCTTATGCCTTTTGTATTTCCTTATGTCTGAGTTTAGAAAATTGGATGGTCCGCACAGTTCTTCGTTTAGTATCCGGTGATCCGATAATCCGCAAGCGGGTACTCAAAGCTATCATAGGCATGTAAGTTCTGCGGTTTTTGAGATCAGTATTAGATCAATGAGGGTATCCCATCCCAAACTTTAGCCTCAAATCACCGTTGCGGTGAAGTGGCTGCTGACCGCTTGATCCAAAGTGAAATGCTGCAGCAAATCGTTTTGTAATCTTGGGAATATACATTCTAGTGACTCAAAACTAAGACTAACTAAATTTAATTGCAAGCAATGCGGCATACAGTTATCTGAGAGCAGAAAAACTTTCTTATCGGAGAACTTTTGGGTGCTATAAAAATGAAATTCGTTAGCAATGTCTAAAAAAATCCTAATTGGATATTTATAAAGTATATATTGTATGCACAAAGTGGTCTTTATAAAAACATGTAGATTTCGATTGTAAAATTTGAGAGAAATATAACTATTTTGTATATAATAATTATATTTTATATAATTGAGATATAAATAATGAACCCTTTGTACAATTGAAAGAAGAGATTTTTAAGGGTTTGCAAAAGTACTTATTTCTGTATATAACAGGAAAAAAATAGTGTAAAGCAAACGTAAACAAAAATAAGAAACCAAAGTTGATTGATACCTCAAAACATTACAAACCAATAAATAAAACGGAAAGTAATATGAACCATCGTGGAATCCGAAAATACTCATTGGAGGGCAAAGAAGCCTAGGACTTAATGTCCAGAAATGAAAGCCCCCATCGATTTAGTATGCTTTAAATAAAATCGACACACCCCAGCAACTTTGTACAACGCATAAAGAGGTGATCACTCACAAAGGAGCTGCAGTAGAGGTCGTTGTCCTCCTCGATGGCCCCGATACCGCCCGATGGCGAGGTGTCGCAAAAGGCCACCGTTTGCAGGGCGGTGATCCAGTCCTTGAGCTCCTCCTCGCTACTTGTGCTCAATGTGAGTGTTCCGTGCCGCTTGACAATGTGGATGAGACGTTCTGGTGGAGGCTCCTGCGTGATCTTTACACAGTTCTCGAGCGTGAACATCTTCGGGTTGCGATCCTCCTTGCTCTCGCACATCTCCAGTCGGGCGATTCCATGGCGACTGGCCTTGAATAGCAAACAGTAGCGACTGCATGCCTTCTGCAAAGGATTTCGGAACATTATTATATCGGTTTTGGTATATTTAAGTATATGAAATAGTAATATTGTCTTTAATATTTTGTTTTTCTTTTTAAATTTATTCGTTAATATCGTAGGAGAATAGTTGAGAAACAAGGCTATAGTATTTTTGAATACTACTTTTTGCAAAAGATATCTGTTTAGTTGTAGATCGTTTTGGGTGAATATTTATTTTCAAATTCACACTTTGAGATTATGGGACCTTTTTTAAAGAGTTCTGAGCTATACAAATTTGTATACTTTTTATCTTTGGGTATATATAATATGTATATATATAGGAATGAATAATGATAATTTTTTTTAAACTATGTATTTATCGATAAGTGGTGTTTTGCAGATCATATGGCGGTTTAAGTCCTATGCATGAGTTTATAGCAGAGATTCTGGCTTACATAATGGTCTCGGCCCTGGAGTACTCCTCGGTCCCCCACTTCCCACTTCCCAACTCCCAATTCCCACTTCCCCTCCTTTGCGCCAACCTTTTTTCCCCTCTTTTACTCAGTTTTCTGGCTCAAGAATTTCCTGTCGCACATAAACACAAATACCATGAAATCGCATGAATCGCCCAGCTGTGTGTGCCATCTGAAACTCCAAACATTGGCGGCCAGACTATTAGCAATCAAGTTGCATTAAGTTGTGTTTCATATTATTTATTTCATTTTTTTTTTATATTCCAAGTTATATCGAAATATACATATGTATATGTTAAGTCTTATTAAATAACAAATTTAATTTATTTTCAAATAAATTAACTTTCAAAGCTAAATTACAAATGCATTAAAATGAAATTAAGTTTTCAAATACTAAAGGTTTTCTATGGGCTTAAAAACAATTCGGTCAACAAATTTTATTTTAATTTGTTATTATTCTATTTAATAAGTTCAATTGAAGGAATGATTTGAATATAGAAATTAAGGACTTCAAAATATTAAAATGAAATTCGAATAAACTTTTTAAATTTTTAAAATTAAAAGCATCATTGTTTTGGCCATAATTGTATGTTGTGGGCCACTCTCTCGCTTTCTCCCTCACTCCTGCATTCGCTCTCTCACTCCCACTCGCACAGTGGGCCTCATTTGTATGCAACAAGTATGCAGACTCACACACACATGGGCCCACGTAAGTCCTGTTTGGTTTATTGAAAAACTACGCACTTGGAGGAAAATTGGAAAAGATCGTTGCGATTTCGAGATCTTTGTAATTCTTGATGGATATAAACGTATGGGAGGAACTCTATAAAAGGGGAATACGACGGTTTTCCATACCTTTTTTGAGATGCGATTTAGCGAAAATCCAGTTTGGGTCGGCACATTAAGATATCCAGCCAAAACAGGTATTTCAACATCCATTCTGTGCACCACTCCTCCTCCTCTCCTCTCCTTCTTCCCACTCTCCTTCGTCTCCTTCTCTCTTGCCCTCACCCTCTCTCTGTCACTCCTCTTGGTCGATTCGGTGCCGAATTGTTGTTGGAGTTGGCTATGCTATGCGATTTCTGGAGTTTTCCCGTATTTTATCCGATTTTCAGGGTTATTCGATCGTTTCGCGCTCGGATTTTGTCACTTCATATTTAAAATCACATCGCACGGCAATACGAAGATTCGAAAAGCGCAGCCGCAGCACAAAAAAATTAACATCAAAAAACGCGATCAGAGGCAAGTCGACTTTATTTATTTATGCGCTAGAGGTGGAGATACATCGATCTCAACATCGATGTCATCGATGTTGTTAAAACATCGGCCTTATCGATGTTTGGCTGTGATCATCGATGTCTTCCACCACTACATTTTAGTCGATTGAAACGATCTCTCCTCTCTCATCAAACGATAGTTTAACATTTTTGTTAGAAGAACGACGATTTTGAATTTCAAACTTTGAACAAATCTGATCTTGGGCTATGGACATCGGGTTTGTGCTCGAGAACAGTTCTGGAGATACAACAAACCTTTGTTAGAAATTTATTTGCGTCCCTGCATCTTCGTGAGAGTCTTATTTCAAACTTCGATAAAACATCACTGAAACCAGAGAAGTTAAATTATCGAAGACACTATCGATACGGTCGATGGTTCGGACTATCGTTGCATGCCGATATTGCAATGGACATCGACAAATTCCAGCTATCAATTGACCTTAATCCCAAAAAAAAAAACTATTTTCTCAGTTTTATTAATTTTAAAGATTTTTAATATAATCACCATGGGAAATGCCATTTTTCGTTTCCATGTACACAAATAATAAAACCGCTAAACGGAAAAGTTTTTGTGACAATATATATATATAATCAAATATTACATTTCAAAATATCATCAAGTTCTTTATTGAGTAATAAAAAATGTATAAAGGAAGGTACAAGTTGTTTGCCAAATATGAACAATTTATAAATAAATTCTTCTCGAAATAATCCGGAAATCACAAATAAAGAACTAGCTTTAAATTAAACGAAATTCAAGAAATTATTCTTATATGATAAAAAAAATAGCTAATAAAATCTAGCTATAATTCAAATAAAATCAGTCAATCTGGCAACGCTTCCATGGCCGTCTATCGATAGCGCAGCGTTGCCAGCTCGTCGGCGCAAGTGGTATTATCAAGTCGTATTGTGCAAAAAATAATAGGCAATACAATTTAGGCAAAACAAAAGCGAAATAAGGAGCATGGCCCACGACCGCGAGGTGCTGCGAATGATTTGGGAGGGCCAAATAGGCATATGCTTCCAGGCGGATCGCGACGAGATCGTGGGTATAAAGCCAGAGCCCTTTTATTTGATGATATCGCGACTGAGTTACTTGCCCCTGGTCACCGACAAGGTAAAGTAAACAATGGTTCCATAAAATACAACTCCGGGACTATACAGTGCAATTCTGATAATTTGCATATGTGTGTTTGCAGGTGCGCAAGTACTTCTCCCGCTACATAGCCGCCGAACATCAGGACGGAGCTGTGTGGTTCGACTTCAATGGAACGCCCCTGCGCCTTCATTATCCAATTGGTGGGACTCACGGGCTGACATCTCACTGGTTTCCTATTGTTCACTAATTTCTTCTCTTATTTCACACACGACCAGGAGTCCTCTACGATCTGCTGCATCCGGAGGAGGACAGCACGCCCTGGTGCCTCACCATCCACTTCTCCAAGTTCCCCGAGGACACACTCGTCAAGCTCAACTCCAAGTAGGTACCAAGTAAATGGCAAATGAATACAACACCTATTAGGAGCCATTAATTGCCAAATCGGAGTTTCCAATACGCTACTTCCACACATCATAACGAGTCATTTGGGTTGTATTTTAAAATATTCGAACTTTCGCATTTTTTGATATTTTTTTTTGTTAAAAGATCTATCTATCTTAGATGCACGTTAGCTTAGTATTAAAAACTTGCTCTGAAATCTCTTGAACGAAATCTCATTTTAACCGAAATCCCAAGAAATAGTCCTCTGGATGATATACACATGTCTGATTTATCTGAAAACAAAAATGTTAGTATTTCCTTTTGTGTAGTCCAATATTAATTGATAAAACAAAGGAAACTAAAACACAAAACTTAATATTTGGCCAAACTTATACAAACAATTGTAATTAATTCATAACTTTTAAAATAAGTTTAATTAAATTTACTCAAAAAGCCCTCGTTTCATAAAGACACATAAATATCTTGAATTTGTGTAAAAAAATTTGAAAAATATCTTGGCTTGAATTAAAATAAAATAGAGTAAATCAGATATTAGGGAATTTAGCCACAAATATTTAAAATCGGAACCCAATTGGCCAAGTTATGAGCTCTAAAAGTGCAGTTTTGGGTTACCTCTCTGCAAGTCTTGAGGAACTTTAAAAAAGTAGGAAAGCATAGTGGGTTACAAATTTGCCAGTTGTAAAGCAAAAATGCCCAATGAAGATTTTTAGGGAACTCAACATTAATTAAAATCCGATAATTCAATTAGATAATTATTAGAGATTTATAATATACTAGTAAGCCAACAAGGTATTCCTATTTTAGATCGGAATTAGATAGGTAAAGTTTTCTAATTTAAATAAAGTTGCAGGAACAATAGTCTATAATATGCCAATATATTTACTAGTAAAATAGCTATGTTTTGATTTGCAACCTAATATTTTCTTAAAACCTTTCTAGTATAGTAAAAAATATGGTAATTTAGCAGACATTTTCTTGAGTAGTTACAAAAAGTCTAATTTTACCTCAAATGCAGATTAGTGTCTATATCTATCATTTATAAATCGAAACAGATAGAAAGCCAAAAGAGTGGATAAAAATAATTTTAAAAATATACTGATAAAACATGTTTTTCAGGGAGCTGCTGGAATCGCACTACATGTCCTGCCTGAAGGAGGCGGACGTGCTGAAGCACCGCGGACTGGTGATATCCGCGATGCAGAAGAAGGATCACAATCAACTGTGGCTGGGATTGGTCAACGACAAGTTCGATCAGTTCTGGGCGGTCAATCGGCGGCTGATGGAACCGTACAGCGATCAGGAGTCCTTCAGGAACATTCCCCTGCGAATCTACACGGACGATGTGAGTGGCAAACCCGCGACCAGATCAGATCAGATCAGTTCAGTTCAGCTCACCTCAAATTGATGGACATTCGTCTTTCTTTTTTTTTTTTTTTTTGTCTTCATTATTGATAGGACTTTACGTACACCCAGAAACTGATTTCGCCGATCAGCGAGGGCGGACAAAAGAAGAGTCTGGCCGACTTGATGGCCGAATTATCGACACCTGTGCGCAAAGCGGGTGAGTTTGGCACCGGGGATTTTCTATTTTCAATTTTAGCCTTTAGCCCCGGCTATCAATTACCACAGGCACTCTAACAAAAAAAAAAAAAGAAATTGGAAAAAAAAACTCCAAACCCTGGAGAGAAAAATGAAAACGAGAAAAACCCATTGTCTGCGCAGACGCAGCGTCTCTTGGAAATTAGGGAAAAGGTGCCAGTCAGTCTGGCATGGCCAAGTGCATGTCTATCTCCCTGCTGACCCGTCTGACTTATTTATTTTTCTATTGAATAACACAAACGAGCCGAGCCGATCCGATCCGACCTGATCCGAAAAATCCGCCCTGAGCGTCGGCACTCTCCGGCAATCATTCTTCAATTCATCAATGTCCCATCTGAACAAAAACCTGAAAACGAAAAAAAAAAAAAAAAAAAGGAAAACAGAATAGAAGATAGAAAAGGAGATTCTTCGATTCTCTCGAGCTGGAAAACAATGCCCCCGGGGTGGAAAAGCGACCCGGAGCGGATCGGATCGGTACGGATCGCAGGTCTTTTTTTGGCCATCTCGCTTGCCCCCCCTGAAAAACATGGCCAAAAATCCGAGATGTGCCCTGTTTCCCTCTCGCTCGACAGAATTTTGCTTGGCCCATTCAAAGCGAGAGTGCGTGGAACACAAACGAATGAAAAATTCATTGTCTGCCGGCTGGAAATTTGTTGACAATGAAAAGTGCGTGTGGATTTTCGGGGCAACAACTAAAACTACTGCTGTTTGCTGCAACAACAGCTAGGCAAGTAGCAAATGCAACAAAATCAGCAACAGTTGAAGAAGAAATAATATCCGAAAAACCATGAACGATTTTCACAAAAACATCATTACTTACTTTACACAAAATTATACAGAAGTTTAAACCAAAACAAAAAAAAAAAATACTACAAAAAAACCTAATATTTGTAAAAAAAAATAATTTTTAGAAATCAGATATATATTAAAAACAAATTTTTTTCCCCAAAAGTAGCTAAGAAGCCATAAAAATAAATAACCGCAATAATTATATACATATTCAGCAATAATATTTAAAATATCAGTGGTTGTAAAACTAATAAAAGCAACCTTAAAATGGCAATGGCTTTATAAATATCAAATATTACCATAAAATATAAGCAATTACATGTTACAGAGAAAACTCAATAATTTTAGAGCTAACACAATTAAATATTGAACAAAACAATTGAACTTTAAATGGTAAAAAATTATATTTAAATTCAAAGTGTCTTAAAATATCGACAATAGAAGTGCCACAATATCAAAAATCTTAACAGTAACAACAGCAACATCAATAGAAATGCAACATAAGCAACTGCTCAACCCGCAACCTCAAAAGAAACGCTAGCTACATTTGAAACAGCAACAAGTGTATTTTTTAGCGAAGTAACATAACTATAATTTATACAAAGAGGTATAATAATAGTCTAGGAAACTTGCAACATCAATAAGCAATAGTCGTAACGTGCAATACCAACAATTCCATTTGTTGGAAGGGATGCAATATCGGCAAAAGCACCTGCAACATCAACGGAAACACCCTGGAACAAAACTAAAAAAAAAAACTATCAATATCAGACTTGTAACTTGCAACAGCAACATTGCCAATAGATAGTGCAACAGCAACATAACCAATAGTAGTTGCAACATCAACGTAAACTCCCAGCAAGAGGCATAGAACCTGCAGCTAAAATACACCAGCAACGTGCAACAACTTTTGGTTGGAGGCAGCAATTGAAGGTGCCACACATTGCTGTTGACCTGCGGCGCCGGCGACAAGAATAGCACGAACCAGAGCGGGACAGCATACAGCATATACAAAGCGAAAGAAAGAGCGAAAGAGAGAAAAGAGAAAGACAACGAGCGAGTGAGACAGGAAGAGAGCGATGTGTTGCTGGCCGGCAGCAACTT